GGTAGTGAATCTTTGTAGAAATAAAAAAACACTTCCCGCACTAAAAAAAAAAAAAAGTTCTTTGGGCAGTCATTTTCTTCTCAAAGCTAGCAAAAGTTTTTGTGGGTGATAAAGGAAAACGGAGAACGTTAGCAAGGTGAGAACACTTTCTTTCCCTTCCGCATTCCCACCCCCACCCACAACAATTTTTTTTTTATTAGAATACATGGGATTTTAAGTTTTCCTTCGTAACTTTTGACTAAGGCAAGTGTTTTTTTTTTTCATTTTTAAATATTTTATTTACCTCCAGCCGAACTCGGGCAAATTAGAGAGTTGTAACTTACAAATCCGAACTTTCGTGATTTCTTTAAAGTCCCTTGTGGTATTCACAAGCGCAATGTTAATTAATACTGCTGCGTAACGGGTTGGAACGATTGGGAGGCGAATGTTTATATCGCATGAGCTTCACGCGCCGGCTCTTTGCTAGTAGTCGTTACGGACCTGAATACTACGCACGAGATTGCGTAGTAAACAAGCAGTGACGCAAGGCACAACATTGTTTTCGTTTTCATTACAAACTTCAGTGTTTGGAGCTAGTTAGTGGTTGTACTCTACATGCCCACCATTCCCCATTCAACAGACATTCAATGGAGCATGAATGCTCAATCTTCAACACTGCACTTGACAATGACTGTTTTATTTATTGATCAGGATACTTTTATCATGTTTACCTTTTCTGTACATGTACGATGGGCAAAGTGCGACGGCACGGCATTCTTTTTAAGCCTCGACCCCTTCGCTGAGCCACAAGCAACCAACACCCGAAGGTTTCGTTCGTAACTCTCCGGCGAAAAATGATCGGAGCCGAGCTTCGATCTGGGAGTCGACGTCCAAGGCTTTCCAAAGTCCACTCGTCGAACAGCGTTCGCCCACACCTTCTCCAATTTCCGATCCGTTGGAAACTTGTGAAAAAGCACCTCCGGGTTGCGCAGCGGCTTGTTTGAGCAGCCCACAGCGCTTTAAAGGGGCCATGAAACGAATTTTGGGCTGGGATGAATGATTTTAAATTAGGACTTTACTAATCGCATATCGTTTAATTGGCCAAAAGAAAGAGGGTAGTAAGTCAAAAGCCAGCTTTTCGGTAGGAGCATTTGAAAATATAGCGGACTATTTTGTACCCTCTTGCCTTCGAAAGCTCTCCGCCTTTTCACTATGATACATCCGCGGTTCCAAAATCGCGTCACCGGCGCCAAACCGACGTCAGCAGAGCCCAGCTCACGCATTGGACACGAGAACTGCGTCACTCGGACGTATGCGCTCGTCAACAATCAATCCGTCGACGAATATTTGGATTCGCGTTCGTGGCCAACGAGTACCCTGACAGAACTTATTGCCACTGGGGAATGACAAGTTCTATGGTGTGCATAAAAAGCACGGTGGAAGCTAGGAGTCATCGCACCGGCGCCGAAGAATGTTACGACGACGTGATTTCACAATTCGCATTTGAGTTGAGGATTAAAGCTAAGGAGGAAGAAGTAGGAAAATCGTTTCATGACCCCTTTAAGTTATACTCGGCATCTTTCGAGGAACAGCTGGGCAGTCTTGGGCGCACCGAGTCGCTCGCTAAAACGAGTCTAGGAGACCTCACAAGCAAATAAACAAAAGGCTATACCGAAGCTACACGGGCTACAGGTAAAAGCAACGGCTAAACACGCAATTACAAGCCGAAGTTGCGGTAGTAGCGGCACAAAGAAGCGCGCGCGACGACTGCGCCGTGCTCCCGTCTGGCACGGAGGAAAAAAAGAGAACGATGTTGACATCACGGCCCAATGTTGCTTTAGCGATCGGCAGCCCGCTGGCCGCCCGCTAAGGAGCAGTGGCTCGCGGCGGGTCGCGTTTTTATTATCGGCACTAGTTGAGAATGCGGCGTCCCACGGACGTGAAATTTTGGCTGGGGTCGTATTTTATGTCACTAAAGCGATACCGGTAATTTAATTCATTTTGAGTTTTGGCCGGAGTTGCCCTTTAAGCACCGGGGCATCAAGGACCGCCATACGGTGCCTTATCGACCGGCAGGACAAATGGTGGAGCGCCACAACGGCACAGTGAAGGAGTGCCTCCGAGCCTACTGCTCCGACCACAAAGACTGGGACCGTCACATCCCCGAAATCGCCTTTGCCACGCGCACGGCTGAGAGCGTAGTGACGGGATACACGCCGGCGTTCCTGTGCTACGGTCGGGAACTGCGCACCCCGTGGGTGCAGCCAGGAAGCAAAGACGACACTGAACCGCCTGCAACGGCTTGCCATGCCTTTGCTGCTGAGGTCACCAGGTGCCTTCAGGATGCTCTCAGCTTTGCAAGAGAGCACCAGGAGGCAGCAAGGCAAACCCAAAAGGCCATCTACGACCGGCACAGGAAGCCTACAACAATAAAACAGGGTGACCTCGTCCTACTGGATAGCCACACCCTGAGTAATGCGGCCAAGGGCATCACGGCCAAGCTTGCACCGCGGCGCTCTGGGCCCTTCCGGGTGGCACATTGCTTGGGCGAGAATGACTTCCTACTGAGGGACCCAACTACCGGACGTCGCCGCGGAGTGGCTCACGCAGACCAGTTGACAGCCTATCACGAAGATGGACCAGATGCCACTCCTGCAATTTCACGAATGAAGGGGGGGAGACCTGTAAGGAATGTGAGGAGTGTGTGGCGCCGGCGACAACCGGGACCGTGCGGGGACACTCCTTCCCTACGGTGGATTCCTAGGGACAACACTTGTCCCCGCTCCCGCGAGTCGCGGGAAGGAGCGAGGGACGGCGGGGAGTGAAGGATGGCGCTGGAAGAATAAAGGAGTGTAGCACGGATGTGAAAGTGTCCGCTCAGCCGAGCCAATCGTGACAACACGAGCAACTTGATCTGTGAATAACATTTTTAAAAATAAACTTGCAACGTAAATAATTTTTGTTGTATTTCTAAGTTTTATTTTTTACGACAAGAAAATGACTTAGTACATGTCCCTTGGAGTAGAGAGTCGTAACACAAGTACACAGACGTCCTTTGTGCCTGTGTTCAAAAGAGATATTTTTAAATAATATGCTATTAAATACAGTGTAGACCGCATATAACGTATGTCGCGGGAGTCGCCAAAATCCGCACTATAAGCGGTACCGCGTTATAACCAAACATCAATTTTTCAGGCCAAAATACATGCCATGAGACTACTTACCTTTGTAAAAGAATTTACTTTATGTTAGGTGAAAAATAAAGCTTAGTTTGAGGAAAGTCTTTATTTCACCAGACTAGAACAGTTCTGTCTCAAGTGTGTCACACATTTTGAAAGAAATGAGCGACTTTTGCCTGGAGCAGCCTTTTAACAGCGTCGCGGGTTGCGGACGGACGTTGCGAGCGTTCAGGATTGCTAACCCTAATCACTTTTCTCCGGCGACGAAAATGCGTGAAAATTCGCATCCTTTATACGGTACGCGCCAGTAATACCTTCAACTTGAGCACAGGCATGAAATGCTCCAAATAAGAAATCCAGGCGATGTTCGAAAACACAGAAAGCACCACTCTAGTCGAAGTAAACAAACACGACGACACGGGCGTTTCTGCCGTCTTGGGAGTGCCGCCACGACATCGCCGCACGAGTAGGTGGATCTTCCCTTCTAGTACGTGCTGGGTTATCATAACAACACACAACGAAAATTCACAGTCAAGGGTAGCGCTTTTACGCGGAACGATGAGCCTGATGAGCCTCCATCACGCAATCTACGTCGACGATCAAAACCAACGCCATGTTTGCGGATAGTCGCAGCCGGCCCGCGACCGGAGAGGAGGAGAAGCGTTGTAATAGAGGTTGGGGGGAAAGGAGAGAGCCAATAGTGTGTACGCACTGCTGGCATGCAACGCGCGCGAACACTTCTCCTCGACCTGCGATTGGTCTGTCGTTGCGGTTGTTTCCAACCATCGCAGCGGAGGGACGCGCGCACGAGAGCGACACGTGCATGCGTCCCTCCGTCGCTATGGCAACTGCAGCCTCTCTTTTCGCATCTCCCGGTTTCTTCGAGCAACCTCCTTGCCCCGCGAGTGCCGCTCGTGGCTCGCGCCGTTATCTAGCGCCGCAAAGGGAAGCGTGCTCGCTGCGCCGGTCAGTGGGCACGGCCGCCAGGCTCTTCCAGAAACCGCACTATAACCGGTATTTCCCTTCGCGCGCCTGCATTTTAAGCGGTATGTAAATACATGGAGTTCTATGGGAGGCGAACCGGTGGTTTAAAAAAGCCGCGTTATACCCGGTCCTGCACTATAAGCGGTTACGTTGTAAGTGGTCTATACTGTATTTAGTTAGAAAAATGAGTCTCAAAAGAATGTTTGCTTAAAGGGTGATTTTGTTTTGGGCAGGGGGGGGGGTTAGCTAAATTAAACAAATTTTCGAAATACCCAGGCTTTACAGCATGCCGTTCATTATCTCTAAATTTAAAATAGCTATTGAGAAAACGAGAAGTGAAGGGGGTGCCGAAATTGCCATTCAAATTTTTCTGCGCTCTCTGCCGGGACGACGTCGCACGTTGTATAACTTGCGAGTCGAGCAGGGTGTCTAAAAAGGTTGGCATCTAGTGCGTCTGTTGTTGCTTTTTGGTGCGAGCTTCAATAGCATTGATTCCACGCCGTTAAACTTCCTGCGGCTCGTCAAGAACAAGCTGTACTGCCCCCCCATTAGAATATTCAACGTCACCTTCTTGGTGTTGCCAGTACAGCCTCCCAACTCCTCAGGCTAAATTTGAAACCTCAATAACTTTGAGAAGGATTATCACGGCTGGCAATTTTGCTTACCGGTGCAAATGCATCTATTGATGCGTCAAACCTATTTTGAGACGAATCGATGACTAGAGATTTTGTCAGAGCTTTCCCCTCTAGACGAATTGTTTAAGCCTCATACTGACCATGGGTTTTCTGTGGTCATGTTGCTGCTGCATGAGCATTCAGTTTGCGATGTTGTTACTCTATTATGGTTTGTCTTCCTCAGCTGCATTGCCGTCGGCACCGAACGAGTCATTGGCACGGATGCGCAAGCTGGTTCCAGAACGTCGTGAGTAAAACTTGCACTTGCTGCGACGCGATGGCTTTGTGGAAGCGCGGGTTTTGTCGAGTCGCCAGAGCGACCCGCACGAGAAGTCCGATAGTAGTAAAGGCGTATTCGCACAATGGATTTCTTTCTCCAAAGGGAGGATTGAACGTCGCCGAGTTTTAACACGGAACGTGTTTTGTGGATCTTTTTCTGCAAGAAAATCATTGTAAACGTGCGTCGTGTACGAACGTCGGAAATGGGCAACGGGAACTGTTGTCGTGGACGACCGACACGCTGGGAGCGTCGCGCAACATTAGGGTTGTGCGTAAAGTTTACGAAGGCCCACATAAAATCATTGAAGAAAGGCGCTGCAGCGGAGCTCAAATTCGGGGCGGTGCGGTGTCAGTCGGACACTGTGGCCACTGAGCTGCGTATGAACGCTGCGCTAATAGGGTAAATGATTTTATTTTGATGCAAACGTGCCAGCAAGAGCGGCACATTTTTATTAGAAACATAAATAAAAATTACAATTAAATAAAAAGTAGACAGAAAGAAATGTAGCACAAATGGCACACAGATTGTGGCTTGGTGGGACACATTCTGTGATCCCTGGTCATTGTTGGCATGATTGAGCTTGAACATTTTTATGTTCAGGCTCAATCATGGGTCGGGAAGCTCGACGTCGATTGGCTAGTGGAAAGGTCACGGGATCAGTGCTGATTGCCTGATTCTAGCTAGTATGGTAGGTTCGGGAAACTACCAGGCTTTAAAACCCAACCAGCGCCAGCATCTTTTTTCCGAAGAGTGCCATCAAGTTTATATGCAACGTGTTAAATTATTCGATGAAGAGCGCCGCGAGTGCAGGCGCTGGGCTCGACATCATTCCAGAGCGATGCCTGAATGTTTTACGGGTAACGTGATTGCCCAGAAATTTGCTACGCTATTTTTATTATTAGCCGTTTTGGACGGTTCGGCTACAGCCTAGAGTAACTAAATGGCGGAGGCAGAGCATCGCCCGCCTTTTCCTTTCAGCACCAACTCCTTATAGGCGGAAAAGGTGTTGTACGCACTTGTGGGGAGACATCCTTACGGGGAGGCGTCCCTATGGAGTGCTGGGTTTGGAGCGCGGTGTTCTAGGTCACGCTTGTCGCGTCACGGATGTTCTCTAATCCCCGGAGCCTGTGGGGCGCCACGGAGAATTCGTGACCGGCCCTCAGAATGTCCGCCGTCTTGTCGGAGCTTTGAGTCCCTTTCCTTTTGGGGAAGTTTTACGGTCGGCGATGTCGGGCTGCGGGGTGCCTTCTTTTCTTTCTCTTTCGCTGCCTTTTGTTTGATGAGCACCCAAGGTCGCACACACGCTTGCGAAAAGAAAGACTTTGCCGAGTCAACTACGCGCGACTCTGTCATGCAAACGCTTGTTCAGATTTTTTGCGCCGCCTTCTGCTCGCAGAGCTATGACATGTTTTTCTCTGGAGCCAAAAATCTGTTGTGCAAATACGTCACAAGGCACCGTTTGCTCGGCCGGCATAGCACAAGGCACCGCCTGCTGTAATTTCTTGAGGATAATAATTTTAGGGCACAAACTTTCCCTTCATGTGCGAGTTACCCGACCTATTGGCCCATCTTACGTCACAAAAAGAAACACTCAGGGCCACAGTGGCCAGGGAGTAAAACAAGTCGAGGAGATTGTCCTCCATCCCGGTGCTATGCTCATTCGCAAGTTTCTGATTTAATCAATAGGAGCTGTTTGTCAAGGGTTTTACAAAAACATGCATGGATCTGTCCCATTCCATCGAGGCTTGACGAACCGTCCATTCCCATCGGTAATTCTCACTGATATATTGATTTTTAGGGGAATATGTATGCGCAAATAAATTTACTTCCCCCTGTAAGTCAGTGTGACTCGCACCCCTTAGGCAACTGGTGGCCGCTGCAAAAATCCGCTTGGTCTAGGATTTCGTTCCAGGGACCTCCGAAACTAGCGGAGCATTTTTGATTGTGGCCACTGCAGGGTATAATGATTTTTAGGGGAAGTCCCCAAGGTGGAGAAGCTACGCTTTAGGATAAATGAACTTCAACCTGGAATCCTTAAGTCAGTCACTAACGTCCAATCTCATTGCTTCAGGGATTATGATGAAGACTGGTAGCAGCCGTTAACATCCGTTTGCTCTACTCACTGCCAGCTCCTGGTTAGCCGAGTTGGTAGAGCACTCCGCTACTCTTGCAGAGGTCTCAGAACCGAATCTCGCACTAGGCAGATTATTCTAGTGGCCACCGGTCGGCATTAGGGCGCGAGTGGCGCTTCATTTCAGGTGGAAGTCAATTTCTTTTTTAAGTAATTCTGGCTTTCATCCTTTCACTTCGTAGTTGCTGCTCTGAAATTTTCGCTGCACTATGCGGTTTTTCTGGCGACAGTGGCGGGATTGAGTCGCGGGTGTTGTTGCATTTCAGAGCCTCCAGGGACAATGATGAGCCCTCTGTCGCCAGGTGCCCCGAAGCCACCGGTGGTCGAGCCCCCCCTTCTTGTCAAGGTGACGGTTACAAGTGTACCATACTGATGTCGTTCACGCGACCGTGGTGACCATGTTAACCTTTTGAGTGCCACGCCCAAGCATACTGGGGCGCGTTCCTGTGCATTTTCAGTTTCGGTTTGCTCCCTGCCCCTCTCGAGTTGGCTGTCATTTCTTTCTCGCGTGTAGTGGCATGCATGAGCGAGCGACGAAAACAATGGGCTCATTCGATTGAACTGCGCCTCCTGCACCAGCGGCACTCAATGCACGCCGCCACATTCCATTTACGGGCGCAGCCTGTATCAAAACACAACCGGAAGTGCACTCCCCTGCCTTTTTCTGTACCGATGCGGGCGGATGCAGGTAAATGGAACGAGCCCAGTGTTGTGCCCTGTAATGTCACTTTTTGATGGCATGTAATTTTTTTTATTTTTAGGCGACTTCTGTTTTGGTATGCTCCTTCTTTGACTGAATGGTGAATCTATGTCGTTCAACCTCGCGCTTCGTGGCAAACACTGAGGTCTAGAAATGACTAATAAACTCGATATTCGACGACTAAAAAGAATCAGCTGGATGTTTGGTCATTCTGCCAAATGCGTTTAAATATGTTAGCTTTATAGGATGATGGGAGGCACTCTTAGTTTGGCTGGTGTTTAGGGCAGGATGGCTCTTAGTCTTCCATTGCCTGGGGTGGGTGGTGCTCTGAGCTTAGGTGACAATTAGGGCAGTGTTTGTATGGAAACATTACGTCACACCATTGTCTTTTTGTAGAGCTCTGTGCTCTTCCCTTTAGCATCACTTGGATACAAAACCCTTGCACTCATTTTTCTGGGTCAATAAGAGGGAAGTGCGTTTTCCTGCCCTTTCCGCTCCTCATTCCATTGGCTCTTTCTCACACCACTTTTTTCTGCTCCTCCCGTTCCTGCACGCTGGATCTGTAGCTAAGTCAGCAGCGCGCTTGGCTTCCATGCCGGTGACCGGGTTTCAGTCCCTGGCACCAGTTGCTGTTTTCTTCAAGATCGTTTAGCAATTACGGGCTGACTGCGTACACATTTTCTTGTGCAGCTTCTGAGGTTGGTTGGCCCTATAAAGCTACCGCTTTAAAACAAGAAAGTTACTGTTACGAATAAACTAAGGCCGAAAAGGCCGCTCAACATAGTGACTTCAGAGTGTGAAGTTGAGGTGCCACTGAATAACACAGTGCCTCGAAAAGTTCAACACAAGAAATATGTCGTAGGTTGAAGGCATGCAGGCATCAATGATCTCTTTGCCCATAAAGTCTGTCTTATGAATAAATATTCTTCACAGAGCATGCTACAGTGTTACCGAGACTTAAATTTGTGTTTGGCATGTGGGGAAAACAACTGCAACACTCAAAGGGCTAATGCCTGCCTCTGATAGTGTTCATTTGTACCCCATCCCCTAGCCAAACTGGCTGCAAGGGATAATTGACAGACAGGCATTATTGAAGTGATCGTTGAAAATAATTGTCTTGTTGTCTTGGGCAGCAGGGTTGTTGTTTTCAACATGTTTTGTACCATACTTGGTTTTGTTTACAAAGGTTGACAAAGTTAGTTTATGTAGAGAGGAAGTGCGGTACTTGAGATGTCTACTTAGGGAATGAAGGTGCCAGTCTTTAATCGGGAACCCTGGTCTAAAAAAATAAAAATTCCCAGACTATTTTTTTTTTTTTTTATGTTATACAGGCAATAAATGTTCTTATCACTACATTTGAAAAGTGCAGATTTATTTAGTTGATCCAAATTTTCATATCGAGACTGTTTACAAGCAAGTTCGGCATATCTTTTCCGATTTTCTCAGAATTTGCTTTTTGATTACCATAAAAAGATTTGCCCATGATATCTTTGAATCTAGAATTTTGATCTGAATACTTTTTTTCGGGATCATATATGCCTTATTTATCCGAGAGTGCAAAAAGACTAGGATTTTTGCAAAACAATAGCTACAAGAATTTTCAGTTGGCAAAAGCTTTGTTTATGCATTTCTAATTTTCAATGAATAAATTTGAAACATGCAATAACTCTTTCTAGAATGCTTCTAAAATTATAAGAATGGTTTTGTTGCACTTTGTACAGTTTGTGAAACTTGCAGACATAAATTGTGCCATAGATTTTGATTGGGGTATTGTAAAAAGGTTAGGCAGAAACTTATGTGATGAAGTTGTAATTTTCTTGAAAACTATAACAGATAGAAAAGGATCGACTTAATAGGATATAATATAATAATGGTTTATCATTCTGTTCCTCTGAACAACAAAAGTCTTGATATGAGGCATATTCATAATTATACAACTTACACAACACACAGATAGAAAAATATGGTATGTTTGTGCTTAGCACAACATATGTAGTAATAGAATTTAATATACATTTCTCTTAAAAGGGCACGAAGCGGTTTTTTGAGATGGTCTTTTTATGGCACAAACTCAATTTGTGCCACACCACCCAAGAAGGTCAACTTTTGAACCTATGGCTTTATATGAATGAAAATAGCAGTATATACTGGCAGTTGCAGGGCAGAATGCAGTGCAAAGTTTCATCTGGGTACATGAATTGTAGAATAAATTGTAGTTGGTTTTATTAGGAACGCACCGACTTTGTTTTAGGAAAACTATCATTAGAAAACTAATGTAATACCAAACATTTTTCTACTCTAGATCTGCAGCAGAATGCCTGGAGAGTGGAACTGTGAAAACAAAATTTCCATAAAATAGTTTTATGTTAACATCGCAGGGAAAAATCAAATAAATGTTTTGCCTTTTATGTTAATAATACTGCTGACTGGGCAAGTTGGTAGTTCTTGTCGAATAACGTAACAGCGCACAACTAGAGTTTGTCCTGAGTTTGCGAGTGTTTCTCTAGTTGTGCGCTGTTACGTTATTCAACCTTTTATGTTGTCGACAAAATCTTAACATTTTTAATAAGACACTTCCACAAAGTAAAAAAAACAACAGTTTCATTGCCCATAAAATTTAAGTTAGGAAAAACAATGAGTGGGTCTTTTCTCTTGTCTCATTATCATACAATAGTTTTCCTAAGGTGAAATTTCTGCCAAAAAGTTGAACAAGGAAAAATGTGTTCAAAGTGCCCCATACCCTACTTTTTTTTTTTGCTTCAGTGGACCGGGAATAATTTATAAAAAATTAACTACGCAGTGTAAACTGATGAAGCTTTTCTTGAAATACTCTCTAGATGTTGGTGAATGTAAATATGGCATTTTTCAAAATCAACTTTTTTTGCAAAAACTTTTTTTCTGGAACTTTTTTTTGCGTGAAATATTACAAATTCCTGTGACCTTTTTTTCTGTTAAAAGAAAACAAAAAACATCGTGATGCACCTTTCTTTTTCTAAATATTTCTGAGAAAGGGAGGGTCACAATGTTGGGTTGCATTTTTAAGAGAAAAAAAGCCAGGCTTGATAGTAATTTTGGGGTTTCTAGAATGCTTAGGGCGCTTAGACTGACTAGGACAGGATTGAAGAAAGAATAAACAAATAAGAGAAGGACAACACAACCACATCTTCCAAATGAAAGATGTGGTTGTGTTGTCATTGTCTTGTTTATTCTTTCTTCAACCCTGACCCGCACCAAGACGCTCTTCGGCCATCAATAGCATAGTCTGAGTTTATGCCATAGAAAAACAATTTCTAAATCCACTTTAATGTCACTTTAATGGGAGGCGATCATGGGACGCACGCCTAGTATATCAAGTTTTTCTCAGTTCACGGTTTTTATTGTCGCCCTCCCCTTCCTCTTTGTCTACGGTATGGCCTAGGCAGTGGAGGCGCTGAAGAAGAAGCCGATCGTGGCCTACTTTGTGGCAGAGCTTCCGGAAGTGAAGAGCCGGACGTTGTTCGCCCAGTGCCAGCCCCTTATCTGGGCCATCGAAGGTACGCAATTTTTCGCTTCTTCAACGTTGAGTTTGGCTATCGCATTAATTTTGTCAGGGAAGTCTACTTACCCGAGTATGGTACAACTTTTAAAAGGAAGGAGCCTGGGCAGTTTGATACTTCGGTGTTCTTAAACTCTTTGATCTCGAAGAATCCCTCAGCTGCCTTGAATGGCAGCTGAGGAACCCCTCCCAGCCTCGGCATTGATCCAGTAAAGCGGTTCACAAGCTTACAGGCCTAGTAAAGACCAGTGTACTGACCATGGAGTGTTTAACTTATAGCACAGTGTAAGATATGTATGGGTCTGGACACCGCACGCGTTGCAGCTGCCAGATACGGTAGAAGCTTGTTATTACGGAGATGAAGATTTCGGTCTGTTGTAAGAGGAGGGTATATGCAAAACACAGATACTCTTGCTACAGACTTTGACAGAAATGGCAACTTCGCGAAATTCGAAGAAAGCGCTTCACGCTGAGAGTGTGCTTCTAATTGTTTTCCGCAAAGACAATATTTTTTTTTTTGTAAAAGAGATTTTGGTTTTGTTCTGATGGGCATTGAGTTTACAAAATATATTAATTTCGTAAAAATTAAAAATGGTCGCCGGACATGGTTGGTCAAACTTCTCTGAAAACACCCTCTAGACAAAAGTAAGCGAACAAATCTCTGGTCTCATGGCGCAGTGCATGCTGCTTGGGTGGAATTAAACTGCGCGAAGTCCCCACACGTTCGATTTATTGAATTTCTTCCTCTGTACAAATGTATTGGTGCCCGCTGGGATTTTGGAGCACAGTCAAATTAAATTGTGAGTCGAGTTAACGCATGTTTACCGTACCTGTCGCCGGAATTGTCTAAGGTGCCTAGCAGACAGGAAGGCACAAATAATGTTGAGACTCGGAGATGCAATTGTGCCCCACTTGCCTTCAACTTATAGCCAAAGAACCCGTCTCGGTTATGATGCAATAAATAAGCATGGGAGCCTATAGACCTTGTGAACAATAATCCAGACGCTAAAGCATGTTCAGTGTATAAAAAAAAATTGCACACTTGTGTTTAGATAGCGTAAGGTTGGTCTGCCTTTGACGTTACTGCGACACTGGTTTACACCGTAGACAAGAAATTTAGCCGGTGCAGTACTACCGCCAGCCTCGGGTCATTAACGCTCACCACGCAGTGCTTATGCATGACCGCACACCTGTGCGATGCTCATCCACATCGAAGTATGCACTGGTGGGTTTGGCGTATGCTTGCATCAGTGAGTGGCCCGGATTGACTGAAACAGTGCTTAAACTGGGAAAACACATTGTTCCAGGCTAGGGACGATTGGGGAAAGCTTGGGGAACTCTCGAGGGTACTCTGGGGAGACACCGGGGTCCTGGGAACCCGGCTTGGGAGCCCGTGTGGTACAGATTGGAAAGTAGTCACCGGGCGCCATTCAAGACTGCCGATGTGGTGGCTGTGCATTTGTCGTTTCAAACTGTGGTGAACACAATTTTTTTCTCATAGACAAGTGACTCTATCTTCCGAGTTTCGTGCAGTGCCATCAGAGCTACAAGGGGAGAGAGGAAATCCTCTTTTGTGTCAGAAATTTGAGTGGCGGGCTAATCTCCGAAGGGGTGTGATGTGCAATGTCCAGAAAAAAGGGTGAGAGAGGGGCTCCTTCCCCTCCTTTTCTAACTGCTGACGTTACACCCTCGCCCTTTTACCTTTGGTGATGCTGCGCAAAAACCAGTGAGATACAGTACACCCGCTTTGCCAGACGAAAAATGAGGATGCATCTATGGCCGAAATGTCGTCTGTCTCCCGTGTGTTGCAGGGCTGTGCCTGCTGGTGTGTGCTTCCTACAAGGAGGACAAGTATGGGGTGGTGCAGGCCACGCTCCCCGACATCCTGGCCACACTTTTGGACACGGAGCAGGCAAGGACCCTTTCTCGTGTTCCGTTGACGTCTGCGTCGGTGCGACTCTCGGCCGCGCAGCGAGTGACAGGGAAGTCGGCTTTATAAAAATTATACACTGGTGTTTTTACTATACCCACTACCATAAAATTTTCTCAATGTACGGAACAAGAGAATAAGTAGTTCTGTACTCCTTCGGTATCAAAGGTGCACGAAACCACTTTCTGCGATAGTCTATTTATGGTCCTAGCTCAATCTACAAGCACTAAGCACCCTAAGACACCAAACATTGCATTCAATCATGACCGGTTTCTTAATTTAAATCAATGACAAAAGATTAATTACGTTAGGACTATTGCCGACACCAGGTGGCGCCATTGCACAAGGAAGAGGAGGTTTCTGTGCTCCTTGTTTGATGGCGCCATCTGGTGTCAGTTTTTTTATACAGATTTTAATAGAAATTGGTCATGCGTGCATGTAATGCTTGGCTTTTTAGGGTGCTTGGAACCCATAGATTGGGTTATGAGTACTGACGGGCCAAACTTTTGCCAAATCGAAAATTCGGCACCAAATCTTGGGATTCGGCAAAACCGAGCTTTTGCCAAAATTTTTTAAAGATTTAGCAAAAATACATTGTTACCAGACTTAACATCAATATTTAATTCTTTTTTGGCGAAAAAATGTTTTCTCTTTTTCTTAGCATAAATACAACACGTAATGCGTATTGACACAGTTATTACTAAATAAGGGGACATTCTACAAAATAATTGTAGCGGTGTCGTTTTTGTGTGTTTACTGGCAATTTTAGCAACTTCTTGCAGAAGTGGCACGACAACGAGATTGGGTTGTGGCGGACACAGTCACGAATCATGCTACGAGAGTTGCAGTTTTGAGGCCTCATCAGCGCAAGCCTGCAAGTGTGTGTGCATTGCTAAAATAAAGGTTATAGCACTGCGTTCCTACTTTCTCTAGGAACCGCCATTTCGTGCGCGAAAATGAATGCTATGGTTGCTGAGCGTTCACCATAAGAAATAACAATATTATTGTAGTATGCATGTTTTTAAATTTGAATCACTTAAAGTCAGCTTTGCATGACAATGCGCGTCCCATATTCGCAAGGTCTCGTTTTGAACCTCTAAAATGCCGGTTTCTGGTGTTAGGACACGCATGGACGTTTAGGAAGATGGAAAGAGTTAGAAATGTTGGATGTGTAACGTCAAGCAAGAGAGCTGTGTGTTTAGTTTTACAAAGTAGACCGCATATAATGTATGTCGCGGGAGTTTCGAAAATCCGCACTATAAGCGGTACCGTGCTATAACCAAAACATCAATTTTTCAGGCCAAAATGCATGCCATCAGACACCTTTGTAAAAGAATTTATTATGTGTTAGATGAAAAATAAAGCTTAGCTTGAGGAAAGTCCATTTCACCAGATTAGTACACTTATCTCTCAAACACATTTTGAAAGAAATGAGCGACTTTTGCCTGGCGCAGCCTTTTAACGGCGTCGCGGGTTGCGGACGGACGTTGCAAGCGTTCAGGATTGCTAACCAGAATCACTTTTCTCCGGCGATGAAAACGCGTAAAAATTCGCATCCTTTATACGGCACGCGTCAGTAATACCTTCAACTTGAGCACAGGCATGAAATGCTCCAAATAAGAAATCCGGGCGATGTTCGAAAACACAAATGCTTAAAAAGCACCACTGTAGTCGAAGTAAACAAACACTACGACTCAGGCGTTTCTGCCTTCTTGAGAGTGTCGCCACAACATCGCCGCACGAGTAGGTGGATCTTCCCTTCTAGTACGTGCTGGGTTATCATAGCGACACACAACGAAAATTCACAGTCAAGGATAGCACTTTTATGCGGAACAATGAGCTTCTACCACGCCGTCTACGTCGACGATCAAAACCGACGCCATGTTTGCGGATAGAAGCAGCCGGCCGGCCGGCCCGCGACCGGTATGCAACGCGCGCGAACACTTCTCCTCAACCTGCGATTGGTCTGTCGTTGCGATTGTTTCCAACCAACGCAGCGGAGGGACGCACGCACTTGTCGTTCACGTGCGTGCGTCCCTCCTTCGCTATGGCAACTGAAGCCTCTCTCCGCTTCTCCCCGCTTCTTCAAGCAACCTGCTTGCCCCGCGAGTGCCGCTTGCAGCTCGCGCCGTTATCTAGTGTCGCACAGGGAAGCGTGCTCTCTGCGTCGGTCAGTCGGCGCGGTCGCCGGGCTGTTCCGAAAACCGCACTATAACCGGTATTTCCCTTCGCGCGTCTGCATTTTAAGTGGTATGTAATTACATGGAGTTCTATGGGAGGTGAACCTGTGGTTTAAAAAAGCTGCGTTATACCCGGTCCTGCACTATAAGCAGTTGCGTTGTAAGTGGTCTGTACTGTATTACAGTTTTATGGAGATACATGGAGAACTGCGAAATAACGTTAGTTAAGAAGCAATATTATTTTGTTTTGTCACAAACTACTTGTGAGCCGAAAAGAGGATCGTTATTATTGCAAGGAGTGCTTTAAAGTAATGGTCAGTCAATGTTTCAACTACCTCGTTGCATCACTGGAAAGATAAAATCAAAATCACTTTATGGAGAATGTACCGCATCATTTTGTCACTTCTGCAGCGGACTGCGTAAATTGCTGGTCGATCTTCTGTTCTTGAGGCAGAAAATGTTGAAGGGAACCACTCTCGCAAAGGCTCACGAACGTACAGTTACTGTGTTACGTAATCCACACATCGCCGTAACCGCTGGTTGTACTACACTATACGATGTACGATAGTAACCACACGGCATCCATTTGCGATCCATGGCCCCGGCACGTTCTCGCGTGTGCACAGATATTTGCCCAATTTTCACCTAACTTTTTTCAGAAGTTCGGCATGTGCTGAACTTCGGTGAATCTGAAGTTCAGCAGATTCGGTCCATCACTAGCTATGACCATAAATAGAATGTTGCAAAAACGGGTTTAGTGCTTTTTTTAAAGGAAAAAAAAACATTTTTTTTAACATCTTGGTTGGGAAAAGGTCATAAAACGAATTTACAATGAAAAAGGAAAACATTTTAGAGCTATATTTACGGCGCGATACGAATTTGTATTTGGCGCCTGCGGGTGCCGCAGATAAGTGGTCTTTATTGTTCACGTGACATGTCTGTATTTGTCACGTGGTGCTTGTGCTTTTTTGGAAGTTTCCTATGGCCTCTAAAAGTAACTTATTCATCTTTGTTTGAAGTATAACAAAAAACAAATGTTAATAAGTAACTTTTAGAGCCCAAAGGAAACTCCTGCAAAAGCGCAAGCACACGTGATAGACCTGTGCGCCGATCACGAAGCAGACGAACTTGAGCGGCGGTGGCGGTGGCGATGTTGAGAAACGCGTTGAACCGGTGTCGTACCACGCTCAGCGTGCGGCGGCGGCATGACTTTGCGGCGGCGGTGCACAGGCCTACCACGTGACCACCGCGGACACCAACTGCAAATTTGTTCTGCACCATAAATTTTATTCTTCGTTGTACATTTGTTTTATAATATTCTTTTTTTATCTAGCCTGTTTAAAAAAAGTTTTTTTTCTTTGCATCTGTCCTTTAAGAGAAAATACAAATAGAAAAATGGCAGTATTTTGCAAAAAAGATTTGATTTTAGGTTTTATGGTGTTTTATTATCTTTGAATTTTCATACTTTGTGTATAAAAATAAGAAGTGCCAGTTATGATCCAGGCAACCCAGTTAGGCATAAGTTTGAGCCTTTTTTTGTGCGCAGTTCTTCAAATTGTGACGTCGCCCGCCATCACATCTATGTTGAGTGTGTCCATCATTTAATTAATTGTCAGTTGCTTATCGTGTATTGGCAGGTGTTGGAGAAGCACCTGAAGCGCTGTGCCAGTTTACGGCGAACAGCCAACGCTGGTACGAGTCGCGAAGTGTTGCTGCGAAGGTCGCTGGCAGCGTCATTGTCTTCGGGGCTCTACCAGATCGCATGCACGTTCAACAAGCATCTGGGGTAAGGGTGCGACTGTAATGTGTGCTTGTAAGACTTTGCACTACACATTCACATTCCAAGTACAGTATTTACCCGATTGTAAGTCAGCCTCCCCCCCCCCTTTATTAAACACCTCGAATGTCGTGCAGGTACGTCAATATGCGGTAGCACGAATTCGGTTTGGTGCGATTGATTTTTCGTGCTCAACTAGTACAACGAAGTTACATGTACAACAAAAATTTTCACTGGTTCCAAAAATCTTGTTATACAGTCAAACCCGTTTATATCGAATTCGCAAGAGAACGTCTACCAGTTCGATATAGCGGTTAATTCGATATAAAAGTTTTAATGAATGTGATTCTCAAAAATACACTTTCTGCTGACATATTACACAATGAAATAGACTTGCATTGTCTGCTTCTTCTTCATTGCATCCGTCATAAGGATATTTTTCTACGCTATCGACGGACTCGAAAATGCTGAGGCCACTGCTTTCTATATTAGCGCTGAACTATACTGGGAGCACGGTTCACGCCCGAGCAGGAGCACATTATCCTGGAGAGCGCCGTTTTGCTCTGCAAGTTGGCTTTTCCCCAACGCCAGTGGCAGCATTGGGGGAAAACCAGCTTTTAGGGGCGGTTGCGGTAATTGTTTGATAAAATTCTCTCTTGCGGACGGAGCGGGGAGAGGGAGCACGGAGCACCCTCTCCCCGCTCCCTCCGCAAAAGATTTTTTTTTTTTCTTCCGGGCAATCGACGCGGCTGCCCGGGAAAAAAAGAAAAGCCAGCGTGCTCTGCAAGCTGGTTTTCTCCCAATGCGCCCGTGCGCGTTGGGGGAAGCCAACTTGCAGAGCGAAACGGCGCTCTTGGCAGTTCGATATATCGGTAGCGGCTGCTATTTTTGTTCGATGCAACCATTGTTTTTGCTGTATATTATCACTGTAACGTTACTGTGCACAAGGATTATTCGATATAAGAATAATTCTATGGAAATGGGTTCGATATAGTCTGGTTTGACTGCACAGGCATTTGACCGTGTAGACCTGGGGTTCTCAAACTGAGTTCCGCTGAACACGGGTTCCGCGAGCTTGTCTCATGGGTTGTGCGAGTATTGAAATTGCAGTGGCCCCCCTCCTCCCCTAGTTTAACCTTCTACGGACTGAGCCATGGATCAAGCTCGCGTTGCATGCAAAGCACCCTCACCCTTCGCACTAATATATTTCGCATTGTGCCCCAGGTTAACCCCTCTGCCTTCTCATTTTGTTTGTAGTCCTCCATTTTGTGTTACTCTATTGTTCACTATCTAAATGTGTTTATTGCCCGGCATTTTCGGTTGGCAACGAAGGGAGGGGGTGGGGGTACCTTAGGACCTTTTGAGGCTTCCTGGGGTTCCCTGGGACAAAAAAAGTTTGAGCACCCCTGGTGTAGATCATTAATCGTCCGCGCTGGTGCTGTCGTGCTGTCATTCCCCCAGTTGTCATCACCACTACGTTCCCTAAGCACGTCGTCGGCACCGTCTCCAACGAAACTTCGTACTTCGCAAACGGCTGCATCGACCGCACCTTCCTCAGTTGCTCAGTGATCGCGAACCGATCGCACATTTTTGCGACGTACGTAGCAAGCTTGGCCTTTAACTCCAGAAAGCATCCGATCCCATCCACACTTTAGTCTCCAGAAACCTCTTCGTATCCATTGCAGTTAGAAGGTCCCTTGCTGCCGCAGATGCCATTGACGCACCACCCGCTCCGACAGGTCAGACTTCTGTCCAACAGCGCAGCTGTCGATTTCTCTCCGACAAAGAACGGCCGTAAACGAGCACCAAAAACCTGGACTGCCCGAACCACGCACGTCAATGTAGACAAACCTAGTTGTCCCTTTAGCACGATTATTGCGATCAACTTCTAACTCGGTTATTCTTGGAAAACTGACGCGGTAGCAAGAGAACTATGATTTGTGGACAGTTAGGTGTGTGGTTGGTGCTGCATAAGGCTGTTCTAAAGCACCGCACTCACTCTTTCGTTCCTCAACGTCTTTCCAGGGGCTTGAATCTTGCCGAGGAGCAGAGGAGGAGGCTCAAGCAGTTTGTCGACTTCAACCGATAGCATCAGTTGCCACTGCGATCGTTGCAGTTGCTGTTTTTGTGTTCATCATTGTCACTTTCAAATGGCATTGTTTTAGAGTGAATGAAGTCACCTCAATCATTTGTCTCTTGAGTGATGTTGAAGCAGTTTGTATGTGTGTTTGTGGAACCCAGAATAAATGTGTTCTGTATGTGGTTGAATGTTTTCCATGTTTGTTACATTCTGTCAATGTAGTTAGTGTGTAATATACTTGATTCCGTAAATGCGATAATAGTGTGTAATATGCTACTATACTTATTTTTACTTCAAGAAAAAAAAGCAAGTTTTGTGCATTGTTCATATGCCTTTTCAAGTAGTTATTACAAGATTTTATTGTCTGAGAAAGAAGGCATGTTTGAAGCCTGTACTTCTTTATAAGATAACTCATCTAATCTAAAATGCACCTACATACATCTTAACTCCACACACAGGGGAAAATTAGTAATGCTCTGCGAGGAGTCAAACTTTTTTAACTATAATTCTTGTACAGGTAAGACACATTGCACATGCCTGGCAGAGTTGCCAACACATGCACCTGCCATGCAAACGAACAGGGTTCGGCCCCCATTGAACCCGCTGCTTTTATAATTTTGTACCGTTTTGAAAAGCCCCAGCTCATTGAAGGGGGACGGGCCTAAATTTAAGATTTCTTGAAAAATTTTTTTTTTTTTTTAATTTGAGATTTTTGGTTTTAAAAATAATTATACTCCCTTGCACTGAATTTGATAACTATTTGCCAAATAGTGACGTTCATATAATTTATTTTCAACACATTGTTAAATTTTTCTCAGTTCCACTTTTTGCTGGAAATTTGATCTGAAGGAATAGTGAAGATGTTCTTCAAGATTGTGCCGGGACTCGACGACGGAGGCAGCTGATAGTCGCTGATGGAAAAGTAAAAGAGCCAGGACTGCAGATAAGGGAAAGGAAAAGGCGTCTATTTACAAGCGAAGCTATTTTCCGAATCCTTGCAAAAGGTCACCACACATGCTCTCCTTTCCTCTTCATCATTTCTAAAATGTCCTTGCGCCAGCCTGCGCGAGCGCCGCCAGTCCATCAACACACAGGGGCACACGTGCAAACGCAAACATGCAAAGAAAAGAAAACGAAACTTGGTCCCGTTTCCGCATCCATTCACGGCGATGGCGGGGCCGATTCTCACAGAAATCTTGTTTGAAGGTCTGATACTACAGTCAAGATGTTTCTGAACTGAAATTTGCTGAAAAAGAACAGGCTATTTACACTTTTTTTTTTTTAAAGTTTAGGTTTTCGGGGAAAAACTTTTCAAAAATTTACGTACCGTAGAATACCGTACATCTGCCCCTTCCACACTAAGCGCACACCCCCGAAATGTGAAACGCCTGAAAAAAAATATGCGAAGTACATATATATGTGAATTGATGACCTCACATGGGTGCCCATCCCCTATTTTTTCGTGATTATCTTCAAATTTTGAGTGGGCGCTTGCTTGGTATCTTACGGTAGGACAGATATGCATTTCATATTTCGAGGTAATAACTTCCAGAAATATTTACATTTCAGTTATAAAAAAAGATTTAGGTACACCTAAGCATTCCTTACGAGTTTTGAATGCGAAAGCATGCAAGCCTCTCGTCCACACATTTTTACAGCGGAGCTGTTAAGGGCTAGTTTTCCCAGGATCGTGTCGCCCGCAAAGAAATGTCGACGCAAAATTGGACAGCTATCGCTATCTATGAGTGACGGCGGCAACCAGACAATCGGCTTGCCTGCCTTGCTCATAGATTGCGGCAACCTTTCCCGCCTTTCACTCTAGTTTTCACCAGAGTGGAAGGGTGTATCTCAAAAAGTCCCATTCGCATTTGAACCTTGCACATTTCATCTCATTCTCATTTGGTCCTCGCTTAAACCTTCTCACAAGATCCGAATCGTGTTTTCGCAATTGGGCCCATTCTCATTTTTCCCATTATCTGAAAACGTCCCATTCACATTTTGACCGTGCACATTTCGTCCCATTTTTATTTGGTCCGCCTTGTTTGAACCTTCTCATAAGATCCAAATTGTATTTTTCGCAACTGGACCCATTCTCATTTCGCCCGTTCGCGCTACGACTAGTTCGGCGTGCTTGTAACGTTATGCCTTCGCGGCTTTGTTGATGAGCCTTACCTGGCTTGGGCCTCGCATATCACCAGATATATGTTATGTGTAGAGGTATGCGCTGAGAATCGTACAATGATGCCTGCTTCCCTTTCTCTAAGCAAACAAAAAAGCGCTGAATATTTAATTTGGAAACTTCGTTTGAACAGAAATAGTATATATAATAGCAGTGGTTTTTAACCACTGATGTTTCGCGAACCCCTTGTAGAAAGGCGGAGATGATGGAGGACCCCGTTCGGGGTGAGGGGAATAGAAAGGTATAGGCTATCATGATAATGATTTAATTAATGAAGAAAGACAACTAATATTGCCGTGCTTGACTGGGCTTTGCGGACCCCTAGGATGCCTTCGCAGACCCCCATTTGCCCCAAGTCGAGAGACCTCAAACAACGTGACATCTCGGAATATGGTCTGGCTGCGATAAATAGTTTGTCTGTTTTAATGTCAGCTAGTAGCGTTTCACGATGATCTCGACGCACTGCTAAAATCCTTAGCAGAGAGAGTATGCCTGTAGCGTGGCACACACACATGCAAGCACAAAATATATCAATGTACCGTATTTACTCGCAGAATGAACGCACTTTTTTTCGAAAAATCGATGCAAAGTTGGGGGCGTTCATTACGCGAAGTAAAAGTTTTGCGTCCGTATTTACTCGCATAATGAACGGACCTTTTATCCTGAAAAATCAAAGTAACTTCTTATCTCTTTGCGCGCGCGCCCGACCCCGTAACCAAACTAAGCTGTGCAAAAAAACGCTGTTTTCTTGTTCTCTTAGTTCCTTGGTTTTTTTTTTCTTTTTTTGCCGCCTTTCGCAAGCTGTTTTGTTTGCCTAGGGGTTGCTTAGCCAAGGGCTCTCCGCTAATCTTTCTTATCTCCTTGCGCGCGACGCACGACTCCCCGACGCCCCGGAACCAAACTGCGCTGTGCAAAAAGAAAAAAAAAAAAAAAAACTCCTCTTTTTCTTTTCTTTTTTTTTTCAGTTCCATGGGTTGTTCTTTTTTTTTTTCTTTTTGTCGCCTTTCGCAAGCTGTTTCGTTTGCTTAGAGGGCTTCTCCGCTCCTCTTTCTTACCTCCTTGCGCGCGGCGCGCGACCCCCGCAACCAAACTGCGCTGTTAAAAAAAAAAAAAAAGAAAAAAAAGCTTTTTTTTGTTTTCTCTTGGTTCCGTGTTTTTTTTTTGTTTTTTTTCTTTTTGCCGCCTTTCCCAAGCTGTTTCGTTCGCTTAGAGCAGTTCTCCGCTTCTCTTTCTTACCTCCTTGCGCGCGGCAACGTGCGAAAACCAAGTCCAGACTGCGCTGTGCAAAAAACAAAAACAAAAAAAAAAAGCTCCATGTTTTTTTTTGCTTTTGTCGGATCTTTGTGAGTTTTTTTAACGCCTCTTGCAAGGCGTTTTGTTCGCCCAGGCTGCCCATGCATTCGCGACCTCGCTGCACTAGGATGAAAAGTGCGTTCATTTCGCGCGTGTGGGGGGCATACCTCGGCAAACCTCACTCATGAGGGCCCTCACTCACCCTCACTCACCCTCACCTTCACAGGTGAGGTGAGGGTGAGTGAGTTTCTGAACCAGGAAAATTCATGAGTGTGAGGGTGAGTGAGGGCCGTGGGGGCGGTGATGGCGGTGAGGGTCGTGAGGGCCATGAGGGCGGTGAGGGCGGTAAAGGGTATGAGGGCCATGAGTGCGTGAGGGGCGTGAGGGCGGTGAGTGGAGTGAGGGCCATGAGTGCGTGAGTGGTGTGAGGGCGGTGAGTGCGTGAGGGGTGTGAGGGCCATGAGTGCGTGAGGGCAGTGAGTGGCATGAGAGGCGTGAGGGCGGTGAGTGCATGAGGTGGTGTGAGGGCGGTGAGTGCGTGAGGCCCCCTTCAGATCGAGCATCTTTCTCGGCAATTTTGGTGTTCATGGCGGGTTGTTCTCTCGCTTCCCCTAAATCGACACCAATTGTTGAGATCGGGTCCGGCTCGAAATAAGCAAGCAACTCGGAGCAATTCGAATACGTTTGAAGCGGCTGCATCTAATCAGGGACGCAAAATTTTAACGTGATACCTCGTGCCGGTGATGATGACACCGAAAGACTTGGTTCTCGTTTGAAATCGATCGTTTTTTTGGAAATAAACTGTTTCAGAAAGGTGCATTAGTATTCTTAACGAGATTTAAATGCATAAAAACACGTTTATAACGCGTAATTGTGTCTAAATAGTGCAAGAAAAATAAAATTTTATGATGACGATGGCAAATTGCAGGAATTGGTTGCTGCGTGTGATCGTGGGCGGCGTGTGTTGCTGGTGTTGCGACGTAAAGTTTCTGGGCGAAATTGCCCCATCTGAAGCTGGCCTGAGTGGCGTGAGGGCCATGAGTGCGTGAGGGCGGTGAGTGGCGTGAGGGCGGTGAGTGGCGTAAGGGCGGTGAGGGCTATGAGTGCGTGAGGGCCGTGAGGGCGGTGAGTGGCGTGAGGGCGGTGAGTGGCATGAGGGCCATGAGTGAGTGAGGGCGGTGACGGGCGTGAGGTTCAGTGAGGGTGAGTGAAGTGCTGAAGGTGAGTGTGACTGTGAGGGTGAGGGTGAGTGAGGGGCTGAAGGTGAGTGTAGCTCTGAGGGTGAGGGTGAGTGAGGGGCTTAGGTGAGTGTGGCTGTGAGGGTGAGGGTGTGTGAGGGTGACCTGAAATGTCGACCTCTGGTGGGGGGAGGGCGGCAAAATTTTGACGTCCGAGTTGGGGGTGCGTTTATTACGCGAGTGAAAAAAAAGTCGAAATTTTTGAGAGCCGACTTGGGGGGTGCGTTGATTACGCGAGTGTGTTCATTGTGCGAGTAAATACGGTATTTATTAATAGTACCGCCCCCCCCTCCCAAAAAAAAGATTTTGGTATGGAAAGAGTTAAGTGCGACAGGTCAAAGCGAGATATTTTTGAGGATGGCTGTCTTCAAAAGGACCAGGTGAGAAGGGCAACACGAGAACGGGCCCAAATAAGGAGGTTTGGAATGCGAAAGACGAAACGGGAAAGTGCCAAATGCGACGGGTCAAAGCGAGATCT